ACCACTCGGGACAATTATCCTATGTGTTACGCTGGCTTGTCATCCGTATCTCCTCGCTGCCCCGAAATGCACACTCCGCAAGGGCACCCTTGTCTGCCTCACCCACGGCTGTGTGGCCGCGCCTAGTCCTGTGCCTGGAGCATGGTGGGGGCTCAATATACATGTCTGTGGAATGAACAAGTGAGCAAGTGCCGAGAGATTCTCACACCCTCTGTCCCAGATCAGAGCTGGGAGCCACGAAACTGAGACACCCCACGCACATTGCCTTGTGGGAAAACAAGTCTCCAAGAATTTAGAGTCTAAAGTTCATTCTTTTTTTTAAAATTTTAATTGCTGTTGCAGTACAATTTTCTATCTTTTACTCCCATCCCAGCACCCCCACCCAGCTCTCCCCTCCTCCCTCCCTTTTCCACCCACCTCTAGTTTTTGTGTGTGTATGTGTCCTTTATACCTGTTCCTGTAAACCCTTTAAAGTTCATTCTTAAAAGAAAAGGCGCCCTGGCTGGTGTAGCTCAGTGGATTGAGTGTGGGCTGCAAACCAAAGTGTCGCAGGTTCCATTCCCAGTCAGGGTACATGCCTGGGTTTCAGGCCGTGACCCCCAGCAACCACACATTGATGTTTCTCTCTCTCTCTCTATCTCCCTCCCTTCCCTCTCTAAAAATAAATAAATAAATATCTTAAAAAAATAAAAATTAAAAAATGCAGAATTAAAAAAAAAGAAAGAAAGAAAAGGCAAATGCTCAGTGTGCTAGGCCTCTGTGTCCCACCCCTAGAAATGATGAAATCGAGATGAAATTACCATTTGGAAAAACAACACGCGGTGGCTTCTATCCGCAATCTTCCAGGGGCTGCAGAAAAGACCAGATCTTTGCCAAGTCTCCATCCAGGCCGGCATAGGACACACAGAGGTGTTAAGAAACATAAACCTCTTTTGAGTTGCACCCAGAAGGCTGTGGTTTGAATGGAGTCTAGAACAATGAGTGCCAGGAGGAACAAACGCTGTGTATTGTAGGGGGAAAGAATACTGGTTTCTAAATACCCGGCGCTTCTTTACGCATGATCATTGGTCAGACATGGAAAAGCAGTCCTTTCAGTCAGCGAGCCCAGGGGCAGCTGAGAAAAGCCGATGCCTCCGCTGTTCCCGGAGCTCAGGTGCCGCCCCTGCCTCCTGCCGTGGAGTCCAGGCCCTGCGACTTCCCCCAGGGACCTGAGGTAGGTGGCTCCTTCCAAAGCAACTGCTGGTTCTAGTTACCTGGGAGGAAGGGGGCTGGAAGGGATGCTCTTCTTCTCAGGTTTGAATGATCTAATGCCTTAGAGCAAGGGTGTCCAGCCCGCTGCTGCGGCTCAGGATGGCTGTGTATGTGGCCCAACACACAATCGTAAATTCACTTAAAACATTATGAGATTTTTTTGTGATTACATGTCATTTAATGTGTGGCCCAAGACAATTCTTTTTCCAGAGTGGCCCAGAGATGCCAAAAGGTTGGACACCCCTGCCCTACAGCGAGACTGTATCAGTGTCTTACTTATAATAAAAAGAGAAAAAAACTGTGCTTTAAAAACGCACCTGTAGCGCATCTCCTCAGAGTGGGGCTCTCTGCCTTCCGGTGTGACAGCCCCTGGAAAAACCACTGGGCAGTTTTTTGTAAATGCACAGTCACCGTGCGCTCCAGCAGTCTCACTCCTTGGCGTCCACCAGGGCAAACGAAGACAGGTGCCCCCACACGTGAGCACATGAGTGTCTACAGCATTTTATCCTTAAGAGCCAAAGCTGGACACAATCCAAATGTCCAACAACAGACAAGTAGATAAACAAATTGGAGTATATGTGGAAAACTAGTGGTTAAAAAAAAGAAAAAGAAAGAAACAACAGGCTAAAATGGAGTCACCTTGTTGGGAACCGCCCTGCCTGGTATCAGAAGCTGTAACCCCCGCCAAGGCTAAGGCTGAGGGAGTGGCCTTGGACTGTAAGCCACCAGGGAGACAAAAGCTTATCTCCCTGGCAGGAGCACTGCTTCTGCTGCTTCATTCATAACTGAACCCCAAAGCCTGGTCGGTTAGCCAATGACGGCTAAGATTCCCCAAGGGGGGAATGATCTAAGACAGGCACGATCACGTGGGAGAACCCCAAGAAAGGACTTTGGGGGCTACGGCAAAAGGGGGATGATGGACCCTCACTCCTCGGCTGTGACATAACCTGAGTCCTCATCATCTGAAAGAAAATCTCCTTATCTCTTGGCTGCCTTACTTCCCTTGCTCCACCTAAGCCTGAAACAATGACAGGGTGGTGCAGGTCTGTGCTGAAAAGGGCGGGTTCCCCAGGTGATCAGGCCTAAGAAAGAATATGTAAATTCCTGTGAAACCTGCTTTGTTTAGAATGCTCTCAGTTGAATGATAAGGGTCCAAGGAGGAAGTTAGTTTGTTCCTCAAAGTTTTACAGCTCTTAGATCCTGACTCAAAATAGGCCCTCAGACTTCCTTGTTATCTATTGTTTGATCCTTACTTCCTAGCAATGAGTAATGAGCTTTACCTGAATTCTTATTCAAACAAAACCAATTAAAAAAAGCCTCTCCGGAGGGGGAACGGCGTGCTCTCCCCACCAGGGAGGATGGCCCTGCTGTTCCTATTCCCCCACAGGACCTGGTTGTCTCTGTGTATGTTTTTCTCGCGTGTTGACGAACATCCGCAGCCGAGATGGATACTGCTGGCCGGTATCCATTACATCGCCTTTGCTAAGCCATGTCAGCAAACCACGACTAACAACTAACGTCATTGCTGTCTCAGCCTTTCCCAGGAGTGGACTTTTAAACCAATCATTCTGGAGCTTCCTGGCCAGCACTAGCCAAGTGATCAGCCCGTTAAGACCCCCCGCCCCGGCGTGGGGTCTTAAGAAAAGGTGCCCCCAAGAAAAGGTGCCCTTGCCTGAAATAACCCACTCTTTTAACTTCTTAGTCCCACCCTCTTTCTGCTGATAAAAAACCTTCCATTTGGGACAACTCACCTGACCCCTTCTAGGTGCTGGATGGGAAGCTGCCCAGATTTGTGAATTACTTAATAAAGCCAGAGAGCTTCACATTTACTGGACTGAATTTTGTCCTTGAACACTACCCAGTAATAACATGTAGGGAATTAACGAGGCACACAACATAGGTGAATCTCAAAAGCATTAGCTGAAGAGTACATACTGCTTATTCATTTAAAAAAAAAAGAAGAAACAAACCTGCTCTATAACAACAGATGGTGTAACGGCGCAGAAACCCCATTTCTTTAACACGGCACTTTGTCCCTTCTGTCCGTCCACTCCCTGCCTTAATCACGAAGCCCTCAGGACAACATTCTGGTTGGCATCAAACTGTCTTAAGAACAAAGCCTTAGGTCTGCGGACCACAGAAACACAGTTTCCGGCAAGCTAAAGAGAACACCTTGTCTTAGCGGTGGGTCAGTGCAGGCCCATGAAAGCAAAACCACCCCACAGACCGCGCCCTCACAAAACCAGGCTGACCCACACCTGGGCCGCCATCGGGACCTGACACCCGGATAACCACTCCCTGCCTGGCCCCGACCAGTCGGTAGAGCCCACGACCCCAGCTCCTTCAGTGCCGGTGACGAATGATGCTTCCCGTGTATCATCTGTCCCCGTGGGGGCCGTCCAGGAGCCAGGTCTTGGGGGACTCGCTTATCTGGGACTCCAGACTGGGGGCCATTTCCTCCACTAATAAACCCTCGCTCTCTTGGCTTCAGACTCCTGTTCGTGCTTGGTCAGATTTTGGATGTGCGCAGGCACATGGACCGCCTGCGTCTGGCCACAGATCTTGTTTAGGCCACTGTTCCTTCAGGTTTTTGTCAGGAAAACATGATGTTTAGTCGATAAACTACACTGATGCTCATCTTTCTTAAACCTTTGACGTTTTCAATGCAATGATAAACGTTAAACTAATGGAAAACGTGCTTTATGTACTTACCTTTAAAAGAATAAGGTATGTATTCTTTTTACTCTGAGCTCATGGCCATGCTTACATTGTCATCATAAGAAAACAACGTGCCCCGACCGGCGTAGCTCAGTGGATTGAGCGCGGGCTGTGAACCAAAGTGTCGCAGGTTCGATTCCCAGTCAGGGCACATGCCTGGGTTGCAGGCCATGGCCCCCAGCAACCACACATGGATGTTTTTCTCTCTCTCTTTCTCCCTCCCTTCCCTCTCTAAAAATAAATAAATAAAATCTTAAAAAAAAAAAAGGGAAAGAAAACAATGTGAACCCAGAGACAGGAAGCGGGAGGTAATGATGATGTCACTCTGTCACTCGGCGTCACTGCACCTCCAGGTCCACTAGTGAAGGCCGTGACATGCCCTAGGATGGTGTTGTGACTCGGGTATAAAACAGAAGTGTGGGGGTCCCTTTGAGCTCACGCCCCAGTTAGTCGGAACAGGAGATTAAAATTTAACTTCTCCTGGTCACGGACTACTGCAAACGTCTGATTGTCTTTCTGTGTCCAAGAAAACAGGAAAGGTTGTTTAATTTGGTTAGAAGATTTGTTCCCTGGGTGGGTCTTGGTCCTCTAAGAGGTAGACCCCAAGCAGTAATTCACTGTCGTGACTGGAGCCACCAACCCCCACGGTTCACACGACACCACTCCCTGCTCCACCGCCTTCATTAGCGCACACTTCACTATTCCGGGGCGCTCTGACCCCAGCAAACAACTTCCTCGTTCGTTTCAGGACCGTGTTTGAAAGATCATCAAGTCTTGAACAGAAAGCATCAGCAATTTTCCTACCCACACTCTTTGGACTCCTGGTCTCCTTGCCTTGCTGTGTTCTAGAATCCTAAATTACTTTATATCATAACTTCTAACTAATCCCCTCATTGATAGACTTGCCTTAACCCAAACTTCAAAATCTGAATAAAGCCAGGCTTTGCCCCTCCCCCTTTGACTTGCCAATTAAGCACTCTCGTGCTCCCTCTCTCCCCCCCTCTCTCCAAGCTCTCTTGAGGTGATAATTCTCCCAGGCAACAAACTCAGTTTTATTTTGTCGGTGATATTTGGGAACTTACATTTGGCTCACGCAAAAGGTTTATTAGGCCAAGGCCTGAAAGGGAAGCGGAGGAAGGGGCCCGGACGCGGCTGCAAGCGGCTGTCCCGCAGAGCAGGTCTGAGGCAGGAGGAGCGGGAAGAGAGGCGGGGCAGGAGGGAGGAGGAAGGAAGGGGGAAGGGGCCTTAGGTGCGGTGCAGTTCCACTTTCTGTAAGGCCCTCGGGGAATTCTCGAGCCAAATTCACTCCTTGGGGTGGTTGCACGTCTCTGCGGACTTACTGTCCCTGGTTTGCTCCTTGTGCACTGGGGTGTTTCCTGGGAAGCAAGGCTCTGGCCCGCGCAGCGTGGACCGCTGTCAAGCAAAGAGACTGGGGTGTGGGTCAATCATAGCTTGGCAGTCGCCCTCGGAGATCTGAAGAGACACTCTTCTGGCTCAGGATATCTGATGATCCTCCAAAAGGCCATCTGGAAAAGGATATAAAGAATGAGAAAACTTCCAAAGGAGTCTGACATAGATTCGTGAATGAGTTTTATTATTCACTACAAAAATCCAGTCAAAGTAGTTGGGATTTTTCTGTCTTAAAAATGCTCGAGACCCCTGGCTGGTGTGGCTCCGTGGACTGAGCACCAACCAGCCTGGGAACTGAAAGGTCACTGGTTCGATTCCCAGTGAGGGCACATGCCTGGGCTGCCGGCCAGGTCCCCAGGTGGGGATGTGCCAGAGGCAACCAAATCGATGTTTCTCTCGCACGTTGATGCTTCTCTCCCTCTCTTTTTCCCTCCCTTCCTCTCTCCAAAAATAATAAAAAAATCTTTTTTAAAAGATGCTAAAGACAATATCACTTCAGCTGTTAAAAAATGAAGAAAATAGTAACGGAGTCTTCATTATTTTGAGTATCATGAACAGAGGTACTTGTAGTCTTTAACAATGCTATGGACTAAATTGTGCCCCCCACCCCAAATTCATATATTCAACTCCTAACTTCCAATCTGACTATATTTGGAGATTAGGGTCTTTCAGAAGGAAAGTAAGGTTAAATGAGGTATAAATTTTTAAGCGAAGTTCTATGGAAAGTATCCTCCCAGAATGATTGGCTCATGAATTCCTACCTGGGTAGGTCATGGTGAACAGTCACTCCCAGACACAAAACTTTCTAGTAAAAGGTTAACCTTTGCTTTTAAAAAGCCCTGCCCATTGTTTCTGTGCATTTAGGTTAGCATAACTTCAAAACAAGCCCTCAGCACCCTCGACAGAGCACAAAATCTTAACTGCCTGTTACCCAACCCCTGCCTTCCTTCCTCCCACCTTCCTGTGATCTTCCTTATGTCTCCTCCTTAATTTCAAATGCAAAAAACGCTGAGCGTTTGAGCTCTTGCTCCCCAGCACCTGTGGTCAGTTGGGCCCAACTCAATTCACACACCTGTCATCAAATGGGCCCAATTCAACTCAGAAAAATTCTGTACAGGTGTGGGTGTTTCTTATGTCAACAGAGGTTACAAGTGTTTGGGGGAAGAAAAGGGGCTGAGTATTAACCTGACATGTGCGGGGGCGGGGGCGGGGGGGGGGGCGGGGCCTGTGTGGCAGCCTTTCAAACCCAGAGACCTGCAGTAACCACAGGGGACGGTCTGCAATCAAAACCTTCTAACTGAAAGCAGTCGTGGTGGGTGGCCAAGTCCCGGGCTGGCGTTCTTCCCTAACGGAGTGCAATCTTTACCTTCACGGAGCCGTCTGTTGGCTTTTTCCGTCTCCTCTAACGTGCCTTTGGAGTGTCGACTTTCCTTTCTTCCGCCCCTCTAGGCACACCAAGGGAGGCCCCAAACCCCCTCATTGTCATTGTTACCGTGTTCCGTGTGGACTGTTAACTATCCCGTACCCCCCTGTGTAGAAGACCAGTCTACCATTTCAGGTTTGGTCCAGTCCCAGAGGTTCCACCCCCACCCCCGGCTTTGCTTTCTCCAGCCTCCCTAATCGATCGACAACGGATCACACGTCTACCCCTCACGTCTTCTCCTTTGACTGTAATGGATAAAATAAGGTGCAAAACTGCCATTTTCTGGAGCACTTCTCAATCCGGTGAGATTTGGCTTCCCAGAGACTGGCGTCAGTGGGGCTCACACGAACTCACAAAAATTCCCTGCAGGTGTGAAGGAGCCCGACCTCGTTAAAGAAGAAAGCCACGCCCACAATGGCATCCCTCGCGCCGAAAGCCCACCACTCCCAGCTTTCATATCCGATCGTAGTGCAGCCGCAGCCTCCCCCGGAAAGGTCATCTCAGTCAAGCAGTCTGGAATTTTTGTGCTGAAGCACCAGTAAGGTCACCAAGCTGTCACGTGGGCCCTCTCCATCCCCCCCCGCCCAGGGAAAGAAGAGGCCATCTGCATGATAAAAACCCTCGAGTTCTCTTCCCCAGCGGCTGGACTGGAAGGTGGGGGAGGGGAGTCATGAAGCCAATTAGATCTTCAAATGGACTCGGTTGAGTTTTGTTTTTTAACGAAGGGCAGGGCTCTAATCCAGTGGGATAGGTAGCCTTGGTAAGAGGAGGAGAAGGAGGAGAGGTCTCCCTCCCCTGGAATTTGCATGTGTTTTTCTTATACAACCCCACCGCCGGGGGCTGAGGTTAGACGCTAATAAACACGGGAACTGGAGAAACCGCTGGGCAAGCGGTCGTGCTAGGCTGACAGTCTCCAGAGTAGAAAAACTACAACTTCTGGGTTTATTGGCTCCTTCTCCTGGACTTCCATGTCTGAAGAGGAAAAAGACAGCGCACCGGGCTCTGCCTCGCGCTGTTCTTGCCCCGGCCTCCCGCCTCCCCTCCCACCGTGACCGGTCTGCACCGGCGCCGGCCTGTCTGCAGCTCCTCACGCCGAGACTGAAAACCACCTTCCTTTTCTAAAATGCTGTTTTAAAATTACAGCTGACGCACCATACGACACCAGTTTCGGGTGCACGGCCCTGTGATTAGACGTTCACATAACTCACAGAGTGCTCGCCTGCTCGGTCTGGTGCCCACCTGACACCATACGTGGCTATTACAGCATTTTTTACTGTGTTCCCTGTGCTGTACTTACATCCCCCTGGCCATTCCACAATTGCCAGCAAATCCCTTCACCTTTCCCACCCAGACACCGTCTTCTAGTTGTCAGCTGCAAAGGACTCAGTCCCCCCAGCCGGTGACTTCTGGGGAGTGCCCATCTCTGCATTCCCTCCCAGAGATCCCTTCCGTGACTTCCAAGGGACCAGCCTCTCCTTGTCCTCCTTCTCTGACCGGGTCGCAAGTCTCTTTCCCTCCCACCAATCCTTAAAGGTGCTTGGTTCACAGGGTTTCATCCTTAACTTTCCTTAGCTCACTCAGAAGACTCTGCGGGTGATCCCGTTGACCATGGCTGTCACTGCTGCCTTCGCCCAAGTGTTTGGCCCTGACCCTGCTCTGAACTCCAGGCCCACAGGTTCATTTGCCTCCAGACTGACTCCACCTGGCTGCTCCAGGCCCGTGGCAGTCCTGTGTTCCAGTCATGACTCAGTGTCGTCCGGGAGGCACCTCCAGCGGATCTCCTCGTTCAGTGCTATCATCCGCCTGTCCCCATGCCATGCCCGGGCTGTCCTTTCCTCCCTCCCTGGCCCCTTAGACTTCCTTCCCCTGTTTCTCCACCCTGCCGATGCCATGCCCTTCATAGTACTCACACCCCCTTCTTTTCCACCTTCACTGCCCCCCCCACCCCCGATTCATTTGCTGGGGAGGCAGCACCGAGGGACGAAGGGGAATGTGCATGAGCATCACCCCAGCCTCTCCTGCGGGAGTGAGTCAGACCCGCTCGTGCTCTGCCTACCTCCGCCGTTCCCGCTCTACCCACCTCCAATCCATCTTCCAGGCTGCGGGCGGGATGATCTTTCAGAAACGCAACACTAACTGTGCGATCTACCTGCTTAATAGTCTTACAAAGATTCCCAGAAGGCTTGGGATAAAGGTCAAAGTTGTCTGAAAACCCGTCGCGTGTTCCTTCCTGCCCACAGGTTCCACCTCACCTGCCCCTCCCTTCTGGGCACCCTGTGCTCTAGCCTTATCAAGCGTGGAGGTACTTGCTGTTCCTGGAACATCCCTCCTTTCCTTGCCTGGGCTGTTCTGCCCCACTCCTTTGAACTTGGAAGTCACCTTGTTCAAAAAGCCTCTCCTGCCTTCTCCGAGCAAATAGGCATTTCCTTGTCTGTGTTTCCACTCTGTCCTGTTCATATCATGATTCCGTATTTATTGTCAGATATTATAAGTATGTGTGTGTATGCAATGCCTCACCCACTAAACTGTGAACAGACTTCATTCAATTCCTTTTTGCATGATCTCACGTAGAGCCTGGGATGTAGTATGTACTAAACAAATGCCTCCTGAATAAATTTTTGAAGTAAGTTTTACTTTACATTTTTCCTGATTGCTTAAAGTGTTTAACACATAATAAAAACAACACTACTTTCAGGATAGCATGCTCTTTGAATCCCTTGTAATAATGAGTTTATATTTGAACAGTACTTGTCCTTTTTCAAAGTACTTTCCCCCCAACACTTTATTGTGAATATTTCCAAACGTATAGAAAAGAAAAAGAATTGTAGGTGAATACCCATATATACACCCATCACCTAGATTCTAACATAACCTTGTGTTATTCTGACACACCTCGGAGTCCCTGCCGCTTGTTCCAGACCACTGCAATGGAGTGAGTCCTAGTGCTTTTGCTGGTGGAGGGTCTTGCTTTCAATTTGTTTAAAAAAAAAAAAAAAGGCAACATCAGTGAAGCCCAATACAACAAAGCACAATAAAGTGAGGAATGCCTGTATTTGCGAAACACGTTTATGGGCTGATTTTATTATCTTTTATTCCTAATGACTAAGGTATGAGTCTACCTGTTTTATAGATGAGGACACTGAAACCAGGAGGGTTTAATGGCTTGCTAAAGAGCTTGCCTTCTAATCTGGGCCAGTTGACTAATCCACACCTTCTGGGCGTTAGATATGTTAATGACAGAAGGTCTGAACCTGTAGAGAATTTTACGAGTTTATTGGAGCCAAACTGGTGATGTATGCCGGGGTGCAGGGTTTCAAATGCCTCAGAGCATAACAGTTTTGCAGATTCTTTTATGCGTTTGAAATTACGGAGGTGGGGAGAGCAAAACAGGGATAGGGTCTCAGGATAGTGAACAAGATGATGCGCTCTCCTACAGGAGGTTATGGTTTGTCTCAAAGGCGAGCTGGCCTAGGTGCATGGCAACAAAGAACAGAGCTGGCTTAAGGCAAGGGCAAACCTCTTACTAAAATACATGCCTGGGACCTGACTACCTGACCTGACAGGTCCCTGACCTGACAAGTTAGGCATTTATGATCAAATCACCCTGTGAGGTTACTTTCCATAGAGCCCAGGTGTGGATAAAATAGAAGAATCAGCAAAATTGTGGGATAACCAACAAGAAAATGAATGCAGCCCATACGTCATTCAGAGAGGTACCCAGTCTTGGGTTCCCTCCCCCTCCCCCACTTCCATTCCTGGGTAGTCATCATTTCCTGCCTGATGCGTTTCTTCCATCCATTCTTTTTCAGGACTAGAACTAGATCTAGAATATCTTGCATCTCCGGTGGTCTACTCTTTCTTTTCATGTGCCAGAGATACACGCCCCCCAATTAAAGCAGGGCTCTAATCACATCCTTGCTCAACTCACAAGACAGAGCAGCTCACCATTTCGTACCAAAGTAAATCTACTATAATCTCTGCCTTCTACAGAGTAATCTGCCCGTCTGTCTTCTTACTCCAGCTTCCCTCTTACAGGACTAAAAGCTGTTTCCCTAAATACACCCAGAGCTTTCTGCTTATCTCCTTTCTTCCTGTATAAATCACCACCACCCTCCTCCCAAATTCCACACGTGTAAACTCTAGACCTCCACGTTCTGGCCCAGCTCAAATGCCAATTCTTCTCATGAGCCTTCTAGAAACTCCAGGCCCGTTATAACACCCATGCCAAACTTGAGGCATCCTGTGCCCCGATCTTAATCTCCCTTGTAGAGCCTTGTGGTCTGATTTCTCTGAAGACCTTCTGGCCCTTTGCCTGAGTAAGCCATTCTCGAGGACAGGGACACTGTCACATTCGCCAATTCGCCATCGCCCACGCACATGGTCGGGATTTTATCGTGATCAATTCCGTTTAACGTAAAATATTCCGCCGAAAGAGTCGGGCGTGGACGCCCCTTGCTGTAGTCACACACTCACAGGCACACACCGATGCTGTCTCCCACTCGCACGCACACGTGTGCCAGAGCACCAGCCCCGCACTATCCAGGGACTCCCCGCCTGTGGGCGGTTCCATTCCAGCCAGCGGAGGGAGGAGCCTCTTGTCTTTAAAACCTCGCCCTCAGACCTCGGTTCCCTTAGGCCGCCTGCAGCATCCACTCCACCACCAGCCTAGTATCGCTTTCCTTTTGAAATAGAACCACCCCGGTTCTTGGAACCTAGCCTGGCCGCGTCAGGGCCGGCCCCACGGGTCCCCCCTCCGGGCCCCGCTTGGTAGCGCCCGCTTTGTCAGCAGCCGAGCTCACCGGGTGTCCTGCGGGTCTCGCCGGCCACATCCCGCAGTCCCTCCGCCGCCGCAGCAGCCGCCGGGTCTGCCCTGTCCGTCCGGCTCGCCCGCCCAGGACTCCTCCCAGGGTCCGAGCTAGGCGAGAAGAAGCCCGGGAACCTCCGCTCGGGCGCCCCCGAGAGTCTCCTCCCCTCGGCCTCGGCCGTGCTCTGCCCCTCGGGCGCGCGAGGGGCCGCGGCGGTTGTGGCAGCGGCGCCCGGCATGTTTCAGAGCTCGTGGCGGCTCTGCTCCGCCCTGCTGCAGAGGGACGCGCCCGGCCTGCGCCGCCGGCCCGGCCCGGGCCCCGGCCGGCGCTGCCAGTCGTCTCCGCCGGCGGCCACCCGGCGCCCAGCGTCCCCCCGGCTCCTGGCGGCGGCCTCGGGCGCGCCGGCGCCGCGTCCCAGCGCAGGTGAGTGCTCAGCGGTTCCGGGCGGAGGACGCCGCCTGCAGACGGCGCGGAATGAATGGGAGCTGGGCGGCGGGGCGGGCGGGGTAGCGGCCGCTCTTCCTCCCTCCCGTTCATCGCCTGGGGCTTGCACCTGGAGCATGGTGTTCAGGTTCCCTGTGCTGGGTCCTTGGGTGCCGGTCCTTCGATATTTCTCTCCTGGTCCTATGTTCAATTTCCCCCTTTCTGAGGCCGAAAATGATTCGTGTTGGTTTTACTTCTCATTGCTCTAATTATGGAAATTATATGCAAAAAAACCATTGAAAGTTACATTTATTTGACCATGTGGCTTTCATGGCTTCGATATTCTGTTTTTTTTATCTTCTAAAGTATGTTAACAAGGTGTTAAATACACGCAATGATTCGTCTTACATTTATTTAGGGGTTTTTTGTGGGGTTTTTTTTTTTTGGAGCCTTGCACTTCTCAATACTTACGTCATCCTGTGTCCTACATACCTGGGTTAAGATCTTGTAAAGGTGATGTCTTCTCCAGGAGCCAGTTTTATCCATCAGGTACCTTCTACTTCCTCTTTTTTGCCACCTCGGTTTCTGCCTGAGGACACATTTCTGTGGCCACAAATTACAAATTAATCATACTTTTAAGATGAGAAAGTGTCCCTTTCAAACTGGCAGTGGCTTCACCACACTAAAAAGTGTATGTTTGTGTTCAAGTGAGGCTGTGGCAGTTTTCCACATTCAACATTGTGTGACCATCCGCTGTTAAAGCTACATTTCGCTCGTAAAGTTTTGGAGTAGTTTGAGAAGGACAAATGAAACAATTATGTTCAATGTGACTTTCTTTAGTTAATGAAAGTGATCATCCAAAATGCGATTGAAGCCAAGATTTGAAACTCTGTTCAGATTGTTTGGCATATATTAGGCAGAAGCTGACATTTAAAATGAGGATGTTAAACTGGTAACTGAGACTCCAGACTCTGGGTTCTTTAGGAAGGGTGAACTTGACCGTCATTCCGGTTTTCCCCCCGGTTCTATAGAAATTTCGCACGTGGTGAAATAGCTGTTAGAATGGGCACCACCTTATAACTTAAGTATTTTTTTCTTGCTGGAAATTTTCCAAAGGAAAACTGTTAGGTCTGAGGTGGGAAAAGTAAAAGAAAATCTGTAAGAAGTCCTCTGAAACCCCCTAGTTTCACAGATAAAGAAATTACTGTGGTCCATTATGGTCCTTAAACTACTGTAGACAGTTACCACAGAATCTAGGCCATTTTCCTGTTTCCCACACTTTTAGCTTCATCTACTTTCAGTACATTGGTTCACTCGCTGTGTGACCACACATTCGTTCCACATTTTACTGGAGGTCTCGCACACTGTAGGAGTTTTACAGGGTCCAGATGCCCCTTTTTTATTGCAAAGTCTTACAAAATCATAAGCATGTAATTCTGTACCGTAATACCGCACTCAAGTACACCATGACATTGTAGGTGAAATGTTCAGATTAAAACTGTAAATTATTACACCCATGTGATTGCCCTACCGAGCACACTCAAGCAGGCGTTGCTTCTGCCGGACCCTGTATTATAGGGGGTAAAAGAATGTGAACCTTAGTCTGCCTTTAAGGATTTCACTGCCCAGTAAGACAGATGAGATTTGCAAAAAGAAATAATTAATGAGATTAACACCTTTTCTTCTAAGAGAAAAACGTTGACACAAGGGTCTCATCGGAGACATCTTTGTGGGCTCCAGGAGTGTGTTGTGGGCTCCAGGAGTGTGTTGCATACTTACCTGGGGGGGGGGGGACACCGGGATCATGAAGGTGCCTTTCCCAGGGCGGGGCTCAGGATGTGCTGACCCCTGCGAGGTCCCCGGATGTGGGAACTTGACTGCATAGTTTGTGGTGGTCAGGGACTGCATCATCATACTTTACCCTATACGATGGGAGGAGTGTTGCCTTTGAGCCGGGCCTTGAAGCATGGTTAGGATTGGAAGAGACAGAATCATTTGGCTTGGGAAAAGCCCAGAGCGAAGAGGCGGGATGAGGCATGGATGCTGCAGGGCGAGGGAAGAGGCGCCTTGAAACATGTTTCCCAAAGGGCCTCTGAACCAGCCTTAGGTGCTCTTGAAAACACGCAGGTTCTCGGAGCCTGGTGCGCGGGTCTGTCGAGCAGAACCATTATCGCCGAGCCCCAGATTCCTCATTACTTGACAAAGTAACAACCATAATAAAGCTGCAGGCTGTTCTTACACGCCCCAAAGTGTAGACAGGGCAGGAGAAGCCTTCGGGGAGCTGGGAGCTACCCTTCTCTCCAGCGAGCCTGGGGGGCGGGGGCATGAGGCCCCGTTCAGGATCAGCTCCTTCCTGGAGGAAGCCCCTTGGCAGTCAGAGGTCAGAGTCCAGTCCCTTTGGAGCCATCCAACGCTAGGCTGTTAGACATGAAAGGGGACCTTGGAGATGATCCCAGTGCTTTGCCTCCTTTTCTCATGAGGGGCAGCAGCCCCTGGGGGAGACGCCGCAGCTGCCACAGTTACAGTCCCGAAGGAAAGGCAGTCGAAGGAAAGGCAGTCGGGAGCTGTCCCAGGCTTATATAAGGCCGTCCTCAGGTCTCTCCTCCTCGGATAATGGAGAGTTGGCCAAATTCCTGTTCTCCACCACTAGGAGGTGCTGCTTTTTCCTTAGTACGATTCTCAAAGCCAAGGCCAGCTCACTTGAGCCGGCTGTATTTAGTGTGTTCCTTACCTATGAGCTGCTGGGGGCGGGGGAGAATGGAGAAGCTTGTGCTCACCAGGCTTCTGCAGGAATGCCCCGCCCTCCTGGGGGGAGAAGGGAGGAGTCGTTTCCCAGAGCATTCGATGGCAGGGGTTTGGCTGCAGTGAACTCCCGGGGGCTTTCAAGCTCATAACTGTGGGTCTCAGGGCCACGTGCAACACGCAGTGCATGCTCACTCTCGAAGCATGTGACCTGGTGTGCTGTAAATTAACACTGGACTGCCCTGGAAGAAAATAAGATGCACCGATGATCCACGGATCCTCTCAAATGTTGAACTATTTTCAGAGTAGGGAAGTCAGCACGGCCACAGGAAGGAGTAAGACCTCCCCTGACAATTGACGCCTCCCTGTCCTGTAGTCTCTATCTGGTCTCAGAGCGACACCTGAGATGCACCAGCCACCAGGGACCTTTGGCAGGGGTGCGGGGAGGAACACCCGGGAGAAAGCGAGCTAAAGAAAGCTGTTACCCTCAGACTTGCATGGTTCTGTGAAGTCCCCTTTTCTCCTCCCGCCGACGGAGGGTCGGTGGGGCCCACCCAGACCTTCCCAATGTGCGGACCCACGGGTCGGGCCTAAGCACCCGGTCACTCAGGGGCAGCCCGTGGGCAGCCACTGACCGGCAGCCCAGGCGGACAGCCAGGGAGGACACTTGTTTTACAAAATGCTTAGATGCCCACGAGAGGTTTCTTACTAGGGAAGTTTTTTTTTTCCCCACGAGACGTCTGTGAAGGCAAGTGCGTGCCAGGTGTGGGCAGCCGAGATTTCGGCACAGATTGACTGCAGTGGGATGTCTGGCAGCATCTCGGGCCTGTGCCATCCTCTCCTGCCAGCTGCTGTCTTCCTCTCCCTCTGCTTGCCTTCCCCCAACTCCCTGCACTTTCCAGGCGGGGCGGGGCGGGGGCCTCAGCCAGTCTGCAGCTGCACTGGTGACCTGAAGTGCCTCGTGCAGCAGGGGGTGCGGGGGAAAAGGGGGAGTGCTTTGCAGATGCTGGTGATGCCTTGCCCGAAATAGTTTTTCTGTTTGCATTTGATGCTCCGCTTTCACGGACTCTAACCGTCACTGAGGGATGGCTGAAGGAAGACGCCTTCTTTCAAATGTAGGTCAGGCTTTATAGATTGGCTGTGAGATGTATTGTACAATTAATCTTTCATGATTTTTTTAAATACAAATTTTTTCAATTACAAAAGTAACACATGCCTATTACTAGAAACCTCTTTCTACAGAACTTTGAACATCTCTGGGAGTATGTATCAATTATCTCTAGAAGCTCAGAGGCTTCTCCCGTTCTCGGTGTCCCACGGTTCCGTCAGGGCAGATGCCTGGGCCCCGGGGAGCTCCTCAGGCTCAGGGCACGCCGCTGTCCTCACGTTCTTAGCCTGTGCCACACGGTGCTTGGCTCGTGGACCTGGCCTGCGTCTCTTCTCTCATGTGTAATGTCTTTATCTCTTCCTTATCATGCCAGATTTCCTGAGCGTTCCTGCCTTGCAGTCATTTTAAATATCCAGACGTGTTCTGGTTCTCTGGTCCTTGGTTCATAGAAGCCAATTCTTGCTGGGTGTCCATGATATTCCCCCGTAGTTTTAAACAGGTAGAGACACGCATGCCCCTTTCTCCCTTGGGCCTCTGCTAAAGGGGAGCGGTGAGGCGGAGGGTGGACGGCCAGGTCCCCCCTGCAGCGCTGGAGAGGGGCCAGCTGGCTGCCTCCGCCTTGGCCCGAGCAAGGAGGGCCTCTTGCCCTGTGCTCTCACCTGTTTACATCTTCTCTCCCGCTTTCAGAAGCATCCCTGAGACCCAGAGTTGGCTCCTGGTCTGCTTCCCACGGTGGGAGGGACTCCCCACATTGGTCCCCAATGCGGTGGGGGGCCCTCCCCTCCCCAGGCTGCTCCCCAATGCGGTGGGCGGGGGGCCCTCCCCAGGCAGGCGGCCCGCTGCCTCAGAAGCAGTGCCTGGACCCCTGCTGGGTCCGCCTGTGGGAGAGAAGTGGTGTCACCGGGCAGCTGATTCAGGTGTCACTCTGGAATGACTTGTCCTCACGCTCGCCCCTCAGCTTCTGCTGCCCTTTGTCTCCGACGACCCAGCTCAGCATTTCTGGGACGTCCGTCAGAAGAACCGAGTTTGATTTGCCTTCGGTGGCTGGCGGACAGGGCGGGCCACAGGCCTCTGTCACAGCCGCTCATCCCCGCCGCTGCAGTGTGGGCACCGCCATAGAGGATACGGTGGCTTTATTGCTGGGACCTGG